CACAAGCAGGAGAACCCAGTAATGACTGTCAGACAATTTCTGCAATTACATCATCCCTTACATCTAGCCACCTAACTCCCTAGACTGCAACTCCCTTGATTATTATGTGTGAGACACAGTTGAGCGAGAGACCAATAAAACTTGTAATGACAAAAATGAACTGAAGGCAAGGATTATGGCAGCATTCACCAACTTAAACAAGGAGACTGTCCAGAAGAGATGCAGAAGATTTCAAAGTTTGGAGGCTGTGGTTGAAGCCAATGGCAATTTTATTGAATAAATTTACTTTTAGTATTTCAAGATATTTTTGTGTAATTTTGTAAAATATATCTGTTAAAATGAGATGTCAGTGTTATTTTTTCATTTTTGCATAATTTAGATGACAATTTATCCATCGCACCCTGTATATATTGTCTATATATATATTCTATATATATATATATATATTTTATAATTTTTTGAAAAATAAAATAAATTTTTTATTTTTTTTTGGATTCTTTTTTTTTTTTTGAATTTGTTATTTTTGATAATATAATTTTTTAAATTTTTTAATGGAAAAAAATAAAAAATTTAATTTTTTTATAAAATATTCAAGTTATTTATAAATCTTTTCATTTATTTTAAAAAATTTATATATTTTTATTCTTTATTTCAAAAAAAAATATTTTTTTTATATTTTTTTATTTTTAAATTTTTTATTAAAACAAAAAATAAAAAAAATAAAAATGAAAATAATTTTTTATTTAACAGGAAAAATTTCATGAAATTCCAATTGAATATTTAATTTTTTTTTTTATTTTTTATAAATATTTATATGAAAAAAATTTTTAAATAATGTTGTTTTTTTTTAAATTTTATAAAAATTTAAAAATAAAAATTTAATATTTGTTTTTTTTCAAATTAAATTTTTTTTTTTTTAAATTTAAAATAAAAAAAATATATAAATATATATTTTTATATATTTTTAAAAATTAAATATTAAATTATAATTTATATTAATAATTTTTTAAAATTTTCTAAAAAAAAAATTCTTAAAATGATAATTAAAAAAATAAAAAAATTGTTAATGTTATTTTATAATGAATATGGAAACAAATTTTTTTTATTTTTTTTTTATTAATTAATCAAAAAATTTTTTATTCTTTCATATTTAAAATTTTTTTATATATTAAATTTGTTAAAAATTATTTATTTAAAAAAAATATAATTTTGATATATTAAAAAAAAAATTTAAAAATGATTTTTGATTTTTTTTTGAAAAAAAAAAATAAATATTTTTTTTTCTCAAAAAAAAAAAAAAAAATGAAAAAAAAAAATATTCATTAAAAAATTTTTTTAAATAAAATAAAGATAAAATTTAATAATTTAAAAATTATTTATTATTTAAATTTTCAAATGATAATGAAGAAAATGCATTTAAATTGAATTTAAATTTAATATATTTTTTTTTTCAATTAAATTGAAATTACTTTTTTTCTTTATAATCTATTTTTTATTTTTTTAAAATTGAATATAAAAAATGTAAAAATTTTCAAAAAAATTGAATTTTAAATATATTAAATTCAAAAGTTTTTTTTTTTCTTTTTTTTTAAAAAAAATTAAAAAAAAAAATTTTCTTTTAAAAAAAGTGGCTTTTTTATTTTTTAAAAAATTCAAATTTAATCCCATAAAAAAAAAATCTTTTAAATTATTGACATGATTAAAAATTTTTTATATTTTTTAAATAAAATATATTGGATTTATTTATGGTTTTTTTTTTATTTTTTGGATTTTTTTTATTTTCTTTCAAATGAATTTAAAAAAATTTAAAAAAATCTTTTTAAAATTCTGAAAATTTTTTAATTTTTTTTTTTTAAATTTTTATTTAAATTAAAAATAAAAATATAAATAAATTAATAAATTTAAATTTATAAAAATTTTTTTAAATTTAAATTAAAAAAATTTTTTTTAATGAAGTTCAAGGTTATTAATTTTTACCAAATGTTTTTTGATTTTTTTTTTTTGTAGTAATAAAAATTTTTTTATAAATTGATAAATTTAAAACAAAATTTTTCTCAGTTTAAAAAAAAGAAAAAAATTTTTTAAAATGAAAAAAAAAATTAAAATGAATTTCAATATTTTAAAATATTTAAAAAATAAGTTTTTTTTTTAAAATATTTTTCTGAAATAAACTCTTTGAAATTATTTTAAAATTTCAAATTTTAATTTTAAAATTTTTAAAAACTGAACAAATTAAATTTGTATTTTTTTTTCAAAAAGAAAAAAAAATTTTTTTGTTTAAAAACCAAATTCCAATATAATTATTTTCATTAAAATTTGTTAATTTATATATATTTAAAAAATAAAAATTAAAATTTTAAATTTTTAAATTTCAAATAATTATTTAAAATTATTTTTTTGATATTTTAACCATAATTTAATTTAAAATTTCAAATATATAAAATTTAAAAAATAAACTCTTAATAAATTCTAAATAATTTATCATAAATTTTTTTTTTCAATTAAAAATTTAAAAAAATTAATTAAAATTTTTAATTTAATACTAAAATTTATTTCCTATTTTCATAATATTTAAATTATAAATATTATAAAATTCTTTTTCATTTTTTTTATTTTTTATATATTTATAAATATATTTTTTATAATATTTCTTTTTTAAAATTCTAAAAAAATATGTTTATAATTATATATTGGAAATAAAGAAATTTTTTTTTCATAATATTTTATTTTTTTAAAAAAAAATATTTAAAATAATACAAAATTTGGATTTGTTTTTCTTAATTATATTTTTTTTTTTTTTTCATTTTTTTTTTTTTTTTTTTATTTCAATTGAATTTTATATTTATTTAAAGATGAAAAATTTCACCATTTCTAAAAAAATATTCAATCTTTTTTTTTTCAAAACTATTTATGTAGACTTGAATTATATTAAATAATTATTTTTTGGGTTAATGAAATTGAATAGAAATTCCAATTTTTTTTAACATTCATTTTCGAAATTTATTTTTTTATAAAAATTTAAAAATTTTATATATTTAAACAAAATCAAATTTTGAAATTTAAATTTCATTTTAAAAAAAAGTTTTTAAAATTAATATAAAATGAAAAAAATTTTAATAACATGTTTTTTTATTTTTTTTTTTTAAAAAAAATTATGTTTATTATTATATAAATTCATTATTTGATTGTCTTTTAAATTTTTATGTTAAAAAATAAATTTTTTTTTTTTAAAAATTTTTTGATTTAAAGCTTTTAAAAAAAAAATTTTGAATAAATGTTTGTGTCTTTGTTTTAAAGTTTTCTTCCTTTTAAAAAAAAATATTTTTTCAAAAAAAATTTTACAATTTTTTTTTTGAATATTTTCATAAAAATGATTATAATGTTTTTTTCATCATTTTTGATTACAATAAATTAATTTTAAATATAAGATATATAAATAAAATGTAAAAATAAAATATATTAATAATTAAAATTTTTTTTTTATTTTGAAAATAATTTTTAATTTTCTTATTTTAAAATTATTTATTTTTTTCTTTTTTTTATTTTGCAATTTGAAAAATGAATTTTATAATTTTATAAAAAATTGAAGTTTTTAAACCAATTAATATTTAAGGAAATATAAAAAGAAAGGAAAATTTTAAATTTTTTATGTTTTAAATTAAAAATTGTCTTCATCTTGAAAATATATAATACATATATTAATCTTTTTTTTTGGCTGGAAAAAATTATTTACATTTTGATTCAATTTTTTCTTTTGAATTTTTTGAATATTTTCTTAATTTTAATTAAATGAGTTTTTGGGGAAAAAAAAACAATAATCAAAAATTTGTTTTTATATTTGAATGAAAAAAATTTATTTATTTTATTCAATTTTTACTATATATATTAAGCCTTGTTTTTAGAAAAAATTATGAAATTTTAATTAAATTCTTTTTTTTGAACCTTTTAAATGGATGTCTCAAATTTAAAAAAAGGATTGTTTTAAAAAAAAAACAAAAATTTGTTTAAAAAAAAAAGAATTTTTTTTTTTTCAAATTTTAATTTTAAAAAATTTTTTTTAATAAAATATTTTTAAATGAAAATTGGTTAATTTTCTTAATTTATTTTTTTTGTTTTTTTTTTGTCTTTTTTTTTAATTATTGAAAAATGTTAATTTTAAAAATGTTTTTTAAAGAGTTTATCTATATAAAAAAAAAAAAAAAAAATTATAATTTTGGTTTTATTTTTAAAACAAAAGAAATATTTATAAATTGAATTGAAAAAAAAAAACAGGGAAAACTAAAATTTTTTAGCACTTATTTGACACAGCATTTGAAAAATAAATGTTATTTTTTTCTCCGAAAAAACAAAAAAAAAAATTTTCTTTCAGAAAAAAGTTTTTTGATAAAAGATTGTGCATGAATTGGAAATGCCCAAAAAAAAAAAAAAAATTGTTTGAAATGAAAATTAAAAAAAAAAATTTTTTAATAAAAAAAAAAAAAATTGTCTAAATGTTTGCAAATAGAAAAATCATTTTTAAAATGCATGATTTTTTTTTTTCATTTATTGTTTTTGAAAAGAAAAATGAAAAAATTTAATTTGAATTTAAAATAAATTTTTTATTTTTTTCATTTTAAAATATTTAAAAAAAATAATAAAAAAAAAAAAAATTTTAAATGAAATTGATTAAAAAAAAAGGATTTTTGTTGATGCATTGAAACCTATTATTGTAAAAAAAAAAAACATTAATTTTAAAATATTTTTAATAAATTTTTTTTTTTTTTTTTTGTTTTTTGAACAGTCTGAAAAAAATGAAATTTTCATTAAACGTTTTAAAAAAAAAAAAAAAAATAATAAAGTAAAATATAAAATATAAAAAAAAATAAAAAAAATTAAAGAAAATTAAAAAAAAAGGAAAATTCTTTTAAAAGAAAAAAAAAAAAAAAAGAAAAGAAAAATAAAGAAAAAATTGAAAAATGTTTCTGAAGAAAAAAAGAAAAGAAATTAAAAGAGAAAAAAATTTAAAAAAAAAAAGAAAGAAAAAAAATCTGGAAGAAAAAAGAAAAATGAAAGAAAAAGAAAAGAATAGAAAAAAAAGAAATGAAATGAAAAAAAAAAAAAAAAAGAAAAATGAAAAAAAAGAAAAAAAAAAAAAAAAAAAAAAGAAAAAATGAAAGAAAAATGAAAAGAAAAAAAAAAAAAAAGAAGAAATGAAAATGAAAAAAAAAAAGAAATGAAAAAAAAAAGAAAAAAAAGAAATGAAAAAAAAAGAAGAAAACCAAAAAAAAAAAGAAATGAAAAAAAAAAAAAAAAAGAAATGAAAAGAAGAAAAAAATGAAAAAGAAAAGAAAAGAAGAAAAAAAAATGAAAAAAGAAAAGAAATGAAAAGAAAGAAAAAAGAAATGAAAAAAAAAAGAGATGAAAACAAGAAAAAAAAGAAGAGATGAAAAGAAGAAAAAGAGATGAAAAGAAGAAAAAGAAGAAATGAAAAGAAGAAAAAGAAGAGATGAAAAGAAGAAAAAGAGATGAAAAGAAAAAGAGATGAAAAGAAGAAAAAGAGATGAAAAGAAGAAAAAGAGATGAAAAGAAGAAAGATGAAAAGAAGAAAAAAGATGAAATGAAAAGAAGAAAAAGATGAAAAGAAGAAAAAGAAGAAATGAAAAAAAGAAATGAAAAGAAAAAGAAGAAATGAAAAAAAGAAATGAAAAGAAAAAGAAGAAATGAAAAAAAGAAATGAAAAGAGAAGAAAAAGAAGAAACAATAAGAAGGAAAAGAAAGGAAAAAAGAATGAAAAGTAACAAAAATAAGTTACAAGGACATGACAACAGAAGAAGATTTACTTATCAGGATAAAGTGAATAAAAAATATAAAACATGAAGAGTGAAAGAAAAACAAAGAAAAAAAGGTGATATGTCTTTTTAGAAAGCAGAATAATGATAAAAAATTAGAGGAAGATGAAGAAAAAAAAAAAAATTGGGCAAAATAAAAATAATGAAAGAAAAAAATTGGAAAAATGATATGAAATGAGTAAAGAAAGAAAAAAAAAGACTGCACAGTCATAAAATAAAACAAATGGCAAAGAAAATGAAATGAAAGCAGACCATGAGCAAACTTCAAAAAAAAAAGAATAAAATAATACGGAAACATCAGTCAGTCCCCCTCTCCACCTATCTCCCTAAATGAAGGAAAGAAAGATCAAACTCTTCTCTTTGCTCATCTTCCAACAAAAATAGCAAAACAAATAAAAAAGAAAATAGCAATGCAGAAACAGGTTTACCTCCACATCCCTTGTTACTCTTCTTTTGCAAAAAAGGTCAAAGGAAAAACCAAGTAAAACACTCGTTCTCCTCCCCACTCTCCAACTAAAAAAATAGCAAAAAAAAAAGAAAATGAAAGACATAAACCCCTAACCTTTTCCATTTTTTTCTTTACAATGATATTCACTTTGTCCGAGAGCCACTCGAGGTAGAGGTTTACAAAGTGAGAGGCACAGAGGATAAATATGGAAGATAACTGTTAACCCTAGACCTGAACAAGTTAACATTGCGGTGATCAGGAAGCATCCTCTTGGGAGTTGGTTCCACAAGGCAATGAGAAGGAGCTGCTTGAGTGAAAATTACATCTCACCAAAGGAACACGAAAGAAATGGGTGGGGTGTTTGCTACAATGTGTGCGGCATGGTGGGTCTTCTCCATTTCCACCAAAAAAAAAAAAAGCAGGACAATCTCTCAGCTTTCTTCCTCTACAACAAACAACAAAAAAGTTAAAACCCCTGTTCATCTCTAGTCTTAAGGTAAAAAGAGTAAAAGAAAGCTAGGTCAAGTTCATCTATTTTTTTTTTTTTTAAATATTGTTCCCAGTGGATAAAAGAGTTGGTTGAAAAATTAAAAAAATAACTTGACCCAAAGAGTTGTGAGTTCAATATCTCACCATAGCAGAGGGAACAAAAACTTGCATAGTTGTGTCACTAAAGATATTTAACTGATACTCAGATAACACAAAAAAGGCATGGCATGTGGAATTAGAATAATCTACCACCATAGATTAAACAAAGGATTCAATTTGAAATTCCAATGTATATCACCTGAAAATGATCAGAGTATACAATGGCCGAAACGTTGTGAATATTGCAATAAAGATGCAGACAACAGTTCGAACAACATTAATAGAATCATCAGCTTGATTATGTTAGCTGTTTTGATGTGTAGCTTCCACATAATTTAAATGATAAAACCTCATTTATTCATACTTCTGTATGAAATTTGTAATTTCAACGTAAGGAAAATGATCATTTTTTTAAAGAAATTATCAGGGACATTTTGCAAAAATGTGGAAAAGAGGAAATTATGGATCAAGTAAAATAAACTACAACTAACAGTAGAAAAACCATGCTTCTACTCTAGCTCACCCAAGGCCCAAGAGCCAATCAAGGTAGAGAGTATTATTATTATCAATGCATGTGAACAATGTTGAAAGTAAATAATGTTTGACCCAAGACTTGAAGAGACTATGATCACAGTGATTGTGGAATCATCCTCCCAGGAATCTGTTCCTCATAGTAGTAATTCATATGAAAAAATCTGAATGGAACTTCTTTATTACTAATGGAATACAAAAGTAATGAGGATTATTTTACCCTATATAAGTTTATTGGGACACATAATGAGGAAAGAGGGCTTAGAGAATCTGATACTCACAGGTTGGGTCTTTGAAAGAGAGACAAAGGAAAACAATGCATGACATACCTGGTGTGCTTAAGCAAGTGGATGACAACATGATCTGGGGGAGAAAGCAGAGGGAAGAAAATTGTTGAAAGCTGCAAGGGATAGAGTGAGATGGAGAGCCATTATCGCCTACATACTGAAAGGACATGGAACATGAAAAGAAAGATATGTGACATGGTAGGTCTTAGCTATAAAGGTCTAAATTGGTGCAGCTAAAGAATCGTTTATTTGAACATTTACCATGGAAATCTTGATAAGCCAGTGATATCATCTTTTTCACTAAAATAAATATTACCAAACAATACATTTTTGAAGGAAAGAAAATTTATCTGCAATACATTTTTGAAAAAAAAATAAAATATTTTTCTAAAGAAAAATTATTTATTACATTTTGAAGGAAAATTTATTATCTGTACATACATTTTGAAGGAAAGAAAATATTATCTGCAATAAATTTTTGAAGGAAAGAAAATATTATCTGCAATTTATTTTTACTAAGGAAAAAAAATAATATCTTAATAATACATTTTTTTAGGAAAGTGGTCACTGTTAAATGTTAGAACTGCCCAAAAAAATATTTGACAAAGTTTGCAATAAACAAAAAAAAAAAAAAAATCTGACGGGGTGGGGGAATAATATAAAAATATGCAAATAATATATATTCAAGGCAAATTATCAGTAATCAGGAAAGCAACAGTAATATGGCAAAAAAAACCTTAAGAAAAAGTTGAAACACAAAGATCAAGTTCAGATAAGCAAACAGTGTTCTTCTATTCAAGACAAGAAAAAATCCAGGACTGAAAGGATGAAACCAAGAACTGGCCTATTTTATTGGATAGGAAGAAATCCCAGGATGCATTTTGTGCTTTTGCTTTTTTTCAGTTTAAAAACATGGAAGGGTTTTTGCAATCATTCTAAGTCTAGATTGGGACCAGCAGCCCTAGAAATTTCAATTATCTCTTTAATATATAAAGAATCTTCAGTTTGTCTAAAAGTAAAGATTTCATTGGGTCCTGACCTGTGATATATAAAGAATTATATATATGCAACGATTTTTTTTCACCTGTTTCTATTTTATGTCTATGATTCTTTATTCTATTTCAATTGTAGTTTTTGCATATTTATTCTGATTGTTTTTTTCTACAATTTCTTTCAACTGATTTTGTAATTTTTCAATTAAATTTTTTAACAAGAATAATAATAATTTGTCTTAGAGGAATTGGTAACAGTAATGGCAGTATAGAATTAGTTATAGCTACCATAGATATATTTTTGGTATAAGATTCCAAGAAGATAATAGTCATATTTACTAAGAATTCTTCAGATGAAAAGTTCTTTGAATGACAAGATGAAACATTCTTTCATCACTATTTAGCTAAAAGGTAATTTAAAAAAGCCAGGAAATGAAATGTGAGGTCTCAATAATAATACAATGAATTTATGAATAAAAATCTTTATCAAAACAATGCAGAAAACTTTTACATCAACCTCCTATGATACACAATTTAGCTTGAAGATGGAATTTTGATTGCTGAGTAATGATGCTATGAATTTTTATGAATAAAAGAATTTATCAATAGATGCTGGAAATTTTTTCATCAACATAGAATTTGCTTGTACATTTTAACCAAAAAAAAAAAAAAAATTTGTTATATCATACTTTAAAGAAACTTTTTGTATACAATTGTTCACTCAATACAAAGTCTAGCCACTCCAGGTAAGATGGTTACTGAATTTTGAACACAAGAATTTGGGATTATAAGAATATGTAGGGTAGATAACAGTTGACCCTTGATTTGAAGTTAATATTGTAGGCTTCAAAGAAGCATCCTCTCTAGAAACTGTTCCAAAAAGCAGGGACTCTTGGGAAGGAGCTGTCCAAATTGAATCAATGAATATTTCTCTAATATGCCAGTATATCTAACGATGAGTGCTTTCCATAGAACCATAACATTTATAAAAATATGATACAAATAAACACAAAATAGGTATATGTATGCATGTTTGTGATATATATATATAATGGATCTTATAAAATTTATATAAAGGAAATGAAAACGTTATTGCATATATAATATCTAAAAATCATAAGTTATATCAATTTCTTTTTCATTACAAGAAGATTTTAATAGTCATATTTACCATCATTCTTTTTTTTCTTTTCTTTTTTTATTTCAAATTATTGGCGCCAATCCTGTCCTTATCAGAAACTTCAAAAGATATTGCATTTTTTAGGAAGGTATTTTCATGATGATTCTAGATGCAGATCAATTTTTTATTTTGCTCATATGTAAATCTATTCTTTATAGCAATCAAGAATACAAGCTATCTCTCTATCTATCTCGGTCTGTATCTATCTCTCTCTCTATCTATCTCTATCTATCTATCTATCTGTTTCTCTCTCTATCTATCTCGTCTGTATCTATCTATCTATCTAAATATCTGTCTATCTATCTATCTCTATCTATCTATCTATCTATCTATCTATCTGTCTATCTATCTATCTATCTATCTGACTATCTATCTCTGTATCTATCTATCTGTCTCGGTCTTTATCTCTATCTATCTATCTATCTCTATCTGTATCTATCTATCTATCTATCTCCTCTATCTGTATCTATCTATCTATCTATCTATCTACGATAACTATCTATCTAGGTCCCATCTTCTCTATCTATCTATCTATCTATCTATCATCTATCTCTATCTGTATCTATCTATCTATCTATCTATCTATCTATCTATCTATCTATCTATCTATCTATCTATCTATCTCTCTATCTATCTATCTATCTATCTGTCTATCTATCTCTATCCTATCTATCTATCTATCTATCTCTATCTATCTCTCTCTTCTATCTATCTATCTATCTATCTATCTATCTATCTATCTATCTGTCTATCTTCTATCTATCTATCTATCTATCTCTATCTATCTATCTATCTATCTGTCTATATAGTCTATCTATCTATCTATCTATCTTTTTTTTTATCTATCTATCTGTCCTAAACTCCCTCTATCTTTTTTCATCTTGGTCCCCTATCTTGTTATCTATATATCTATCTTTCTATCTATCTATTTATCTCTATAATCTATCTATCCATCTATCTATATATCTATTTTCATCTATCTATCTGTCTCATAAAAAAAATCTATCTATCTATCTTTTTTGTATCTATCTATATATCTTATCTTCATCTAATCATCTATTTCATCTATCTATCTATCTGTATCTATCTATCTATCTATCTATCTATCTATCTCATTATCTATATATCTATCTATCTATCTATCTATCTATCTATCTGTATCTATCTATGTTATCTATATGTATCTCGGTCTGTATTATCTATCTATCTATCTATGTCTATCTATCTATCTATCTATCTATTCTATCTGTATCTATCTTATATCTATCTATC